ATTAAAGTTTTTCTTTGTTTCTTAATTTTTTTTCTTACGCACCTCGATTTGTAGCACAGGAAATTCCCCTGCTCCATGTATGTTCATATATATGACAGAGGTAACTTAGGGATGTCAACGGGGTTCTGTGGGGTCGAGAAGTCCTTCCGTGTCCTCGTCCCCGCCATTCCCCGCGGGAATTTTTTATGGGGTAAATTTTGCCTCCCACCCTCATTTCCCGCGGGAAAAGGGGATCCCCGTGAGGATCTCCATTCCCACCAATTCATACCAAAGTATATATTTTTTGTATCACACATAAATAAAAATTAATTTAACATAAATAATTAAATCAACAAAAAGGGAAAATTGAAGGTGAGATCGTGAGAGTGAGTGAGGAGAAATTGTAGAAGCAAGAAGGGGAGGGGAAGGTCGAAGGTGAGGTGAGAGTTTGATTGTCCAACCGAGATCGAGAGTGAGTGAGGAGCTGAAGTGAGGGTTGTGGCTGCACTGTTGCGTGGGTGAGGAGAAAGGGAAATAATAAGGTTAGGAAATTAGGGTTGGAAGAAGGATGATGGGTTGGGTTGGGTTGGGTAAATTTTAATTTTTATTGAATTGGGTTTGGGTTTTATTTTAAAGGTTCAATTAAACTTAAAATATATATATTTTTAAATTTTTTACGAGGATGGGGTTCCCGCGAAGCGAGGAAAATTTCTCGCAAAATTTCATGCAAAAAAAAGTCTCCCCATCCCCACCCCGCAGGAAGAAATATTCCTCCCTGCCCCGTCCCCATGACAGGGATCCCCGCAGGGATCGGGGGAAAATTGCCACCCGTAGGTAACTTCACCACTAACAGCACTTACATGACAAACTTCAATCCTCTCTTCTCCTTCACTTCTTATTGAGAAAATGATTATAAGTTCTACAATGTTTATATAGTTTTTACAACCACAATTTCTAGTATATATGAAGATCTAATGGAGATAGAATAAGTCTAGAGACCAATTACAATGACATGAATCAAATTATACACTGAACTTCAAAAACAAATTCTAAACTCTGGGCTACGCTACATTGACCATAAGACTAACTATATACACAAGTAGGAACCACAGGAAATATACTCACATCTGGCCTCTCGATTAAGCTCCAGGGTGTATCCATTGAACTATTTTCTCCTCAATGGCTCTGTTACATCACTAATGCAATTGGTACCCCATTGGCTCTGCTCAATATCATCTCCCTATGGAGTTTCCTATATATTGATATTGAGGAGTGCTTGAGCACAAATTGTGTTTGAAAAAGCTTTA